TATATATATTCAAACATTCAGCGCAGAATATATGTATTTCATATTGTAATATATATATTATGTTAGAATATTCTGTAACACTGAGAACCGGTTTTTGAATGATGGTTTAAACTTGGTTTTAAATTTACTTCTAACAATACGTTTTACTTAAATATAGTTTAAGTTGAAATTTAAGTTTAAACTTTCGTTGAAAAACCGACCCTTAAAGACTGATAATAATGAGAACGTTCAGAATTAGTCACGTAGCATTGATACTTTTACTTTATACGCGAATTAATCTCGATAACGACTCGCCGGGCGACTCGTCGTGACATTCAACGCGTTAGACATAGTTGTGAAGAAGGACGTTAATCAATGTAAATACGTCAATTTGTTTGCAATAATTAGGTATAATTAATGCATTTTGTCAAAGTGGCTCGTGTGAAATGGGTCTCTGTGAGATTATAAGTATAATCTCGAGTGTGTTTATGCATTTTTGTTTTTTGCAGAAAGATTCGGGGTCTCAAATGACGATTGCTCAGAACGAATTCTACACCAAGACTATACATACATTTGATCTCTATAATGAGCAAAGTAACAAATTGGTTGGCTTTGTCTACGAAACGATTAATGTTAAATTGGTATCGATAGAGCCGTGAAGAACACGACACGAGTATCATGTTGATTCGTAAAATCAAAGGAGAAATGCTCAGTGACCTCAATTTGGCAACGAACAAAATTACACGGAGGATATATTTTTAATTCGTTTTTAAAATATTGCTGACATTAAACTGCATGAAGTGTTATAATTATTATAACTACGTAAACGGTATATGTATATATCTTACTCTTTTATGTCCTTCGGTGACTTATTACTGGCATAGATAACGATATACAGCGTTTGTTATGTTTCTGTCTTTTATTAAATAAAATTTATAATTTTGCCGCTCGATAACTTCTCCGACTTGCTTAATTTTTCTCTTTATGAGAAGAGAATCACCAAATAATAAATTTTTTATTCTTATTACCTCGTCACATACTACTATATACATATGTGTGTATCAAAGGCGTAATTAAAAATATTTCATAAAACTATTACTGTCGCAATCACACGATACAGATACAGGTAAGTGATTTATTAGGACTCTCCTTTGTTGATATTGTGTGTTAGTTTCTTATGTGTATTGTTATATCGGTTGTTATATATTATCATAGCTTCTGTATGTGTGTTTTGCGTCTATTTCTTACGGTAAAACAGCTTATAAACTTTGATGGACATCTATGTTCGACAGAGTAATGATCGCCTTCAAATAGGATAAAACATGAACGGCAACATTTACAATCTGCCATGCAAGGTAAAAGATTTAAATAAAAGATGTAAATGAGATTTCCGCCTAAATCTTTCTTCTGAAATCTCACTCGTTTTCTCATCTATTCAATCGCACTCTTCAGCTTTTGAATGAACATCTTGATTAATATGGAGTAGCTGAATGCGTACAATTATATTGCGACATTAATTACTATCTAATAAGTTAATATTAATTGTCATAATATTAATCACGGCCAACAAAAAATGCTCTGGCAACCTCCCCGTCTGTTTTCCCTTCGGAGGCGTGTTAACGCGACGTGTAACGAAAGCAAATATTTCGAGTTATTGCGAACCGTCATACATTTGTTTGTTGCCGATATCGTAGTACTGTGTTATGACCTTATCCAAGTACAATTTCCAGTCCAAAACGCAGAATACTTTTGAATTGTACAACCAGAATATGATTCGAATTGTTAATGCTGTGGAGGGCATTGCAGTTTTATAAAAATCAGTACTGTCCCCGCAAGATTTTCTATCCAGGATCTTTTTTAAATCCATCGTGGCGAGTGCGATCGCAGAAGGCTCAATACGTAATAAGCGATATTGGTTCTGTAAACAGACCTTCTTGTTACAAAATTGTTCATTTTTTTCTCGTTCCGAACAATGTTGAGTGAGTACTATATGCAAGAGTTCCATTTTACAAGTATTCTTTTTACCATTAGAAAAACTGTGTGACGAAATAAATGATTTTTCACGTACACTTTTATTTATTCTCATATCTTATAGAGACTACCGAAAGTGAATCTTCGGGTTGTGTAGTGAATATTCTTGAATTTTTCAGGTAAAGTAGAACGAGATTATGTCGTAATAATTTTACAAAATTGTATGCGCGTCGTTTGGGAATGCATCTTCTTCAGCTCTTTGCGTTCTATCATGAAAGATTATGGCAACGTGAAAACAGTTTCAGTTTCGGAAGGAGCTTATGGCCCGAGCTTATAACATTGAATGTCACCGCGAAGCCGGTACGTATCGATGAATTCACTTAGGCCTTCGTGGTCATTGGAACAGAGGAATTCGATTCGCACGACTCGACTGCGTCAACAACTGTTGACGTGTCGTTGGCCGTTGCATCGACTCCTTTCCTTTGTTTCGCTTGTTCAACCGTTTAATCGTAGTCAAGTAACTGTCGAAGGATAGTTGCGATGATAGACCGATCATTAGAGAGAGATTAATTTTTTTCCTCGCTCCGAACAATGTTGAGTGCGAACTATATGCAAAAGTTCCTTTTTACAAATATCGGTGTCTTTTTACTATTGAAAAAACTGTGTGACGAAATAAATGGTTTTTTACATACACGTTTATTTATTTATATACCCTGTAGAGACTACCGAAAGTAAAACTTCTGGTTGTGTAGCCAGTAATCTTGAATTTTTCAAGTGAAAAATTTAAAAATGAGATTATGTAATAATAATTTTACGATTATGTCATAATAATTTTACAAAATTTTATGTGTGTCGTTTGGGAATGCATCTTCTTCAATTCTTTGCGTATGTCTCGTCATGAAAGATTATGACAACATGAAAACATAATTTCACGTATTTTTGTTTGAACAATCTGAAACTGCGCGGTTTAATGTTTTCTGTTAATACGTCATCTATTTCCTGTATCTTACACACTCTACGATAAGATTTTGCAAATTTCGGACGTTTAACGGTTTAACTGTCGTCTGGTTTTTGCTGTGTTGATAAATATTCAAATGTGTGTTAGTTTCTATTGTATAGCTAAAAGACGGTTCGGAAGGTGCTTTTGTCTGGAGACAAATGATCATCGCTCTTCAGCTGCGCAGTTCGCAACATAATTAAATGCGATACTAAACGTTCGCAAGTTCCTTCTGTACCGCACACGTTTTTGCCATTCGGCACACGAGGGCTATATACAAGGTAGGAGAAAGCTCCTCTTTTCAATAAACCAAGAATCGATTCGCTCTTTTGCGTCGACCGTCGTTCGAATATCTTTCCTAAAATTCTGCTCTCGTTTGCATCTCGTCGGACGCGCATTCTTCAGCGTCTACAGAGAATTGCACGTTGGACATTGCACGTGATCTTGAAGTCGTGAAAATAGATTGATCCCGCGGAAACAACATCTGACAGGGGCATCAGGATTATTCAATAATCAGCGGATCACTATGACAGTTTTACCCGTGATACCGTTTTTCCTAGGTGAGTTGAGCGTTCCGTTAGTCTGTTAACCTTCGGTACGGCCCCATTGCAAAGAATAACGTCATGCTCGACTTTTTCCAGGCTATATCATACAGAATCAAAGCAATCCTACGCCCTCGTACATATTCCACGTGCGGGTAGACACGTTATTCATCAACAAATCAGGAACACACGATACTGAGAACAACGCCGGCCTGGCGTTCAACCTGAAGTGTCAGCCGTATATGGATCAAAATTTAAAATGTCACATCCAAAAAGACATTTTTTATTCACCTAGCACTGACTTTGTACACATGGTGGACAATAACGATTTCACGCCGTCATGCCTTCAATTCGACCGGATACGTTACCGAATGAGCTTCGATTTTAAGGGAGTAACAAGCTATCAAATCTTGACGGAAAACGTGGAAAACAAGAAAACTCTGTTGGAAATGTACCGGTTCATCGGGGATCAGTTGAGCGTTGGTGCTGACCTCAAAACAAGGGGCTTCGAATTCAATACGACGGAGGACACCATTATCGGAAAATGCCCAACACTTTACAAAATCCATCATGATGTGACCCTCAATACAAGTAATTTCGAGCTCACCTTAATTGCGAGACAGAAATACAGGTTGAACAAGAACGAATCGTTGCATATAAGTAAACAAAGGCGTGTGAACGAGTGCCATCCGCAGAACGGTTATATTCTCGGAAGGATCTTATGGACCGACCTCATTACATCGAAAGTCACCGCGAAGCTGGTACGTATCGACGAATTCACTTAGGCCTTCCAGGTCATTCGAACGGAAGAATTTCGATTCGCACCACTCGACTACGTCAACAACTGTTGATGTGTCGTTGGCTGTTGCATCGACTCCTTTGTTTCGCTTGTTCAACAGTTTAATCTTAGTCAAGTAACTATCGAAGGATAGTTGCGATGATAGAGCGATCATTAGAGAGAGTTAAGGTCAAAGTCAACTTCTCGACATGCACTTAGTCCTGGGCACACATTCTTATTGTTTTGGTCTTCAACTACAAATATATTCAAACTTTCAGCGTAGAATATATGTATTTCATGTTGTAATATATGTTAGAATATTCTGTGTTGAAAGTTTAAACACTGAGGACCGGTTTTTGAATGATAATTTAAACTTGGATTTAAGTTTAACTTCTAACAATGCGTTTGTTTTAAACATAATTTAAGTTGAAATCTAAGTTTAAACTTAGACGTTGAAGGACCGGCCCTTAAAGACCGATAATAATGAGAACGTTCAGAATTAGTCACGTAGCATTAATACTTTTACTTTATGCGTGAATTAATCTCGATAACGATCGTCGGGCAACTCGTCGTCACATTCAACGCGTTAGACATAATTGTGAAAAGAAACGTTAATCAATGTAAATCAATGTACATCAATTTGTTTGCAATAATTAGGTATAATTAATGCATATTTTCAAAGCTGCCGTGTGAAATGGGACTATGAGATTAAAGTATAGTCTCCAGTGTGTTTTTGCATTATTATTTTTTGCAGAAAGAATCGGGGACTCTAATGATGTTTGCTCAGAACGATTTCTACACCAAGACCATCAATACATTTGATCTCTATAATGAGCAAGATAAGAGGGTTGGATATGTCTATGAAACGATGAATGTTAGATTGGATTTTATAGAGGGCTGAAGAACATTGATTCGTTAAATCAAACGCTGAAGGATACGCTCAGTGACCTCAATTTGGCAACGAACAAAATTACACGGAGGACATATTTATAATTCGTTTTTAAAATATTCTTGACATGCGGCATTAAACTGCATAAGGTGTTATAATTATTATAACTACGTAAACGGTATATATATATATATATATATATATATATATATATATATATATTTTACTCTTTTATGTCTTTTGATGACTTATTACTGGCATAGATAACGATATACAGCGTTTGTTATGTTTCTATCTTTTCTTTAATAAAATTTATAATTTTGCCGCTCGCTAACTTCTCCGACTTACTTAATTCTTCTCTTTACGAGAAGAGAATCCACTAAATAATAAATTTCTTATTCTTATTACATTGTCATTTATTAGTGTATACATATGTGTGTGTCAAAGGCGTAATTAAAAATATTTCATGAGATCATTACTGTCGCAATCATACGATACAGATACTGGTAAGCGATTTATTAGGACACCTCTTCATCGATATTCTGTGTTAGTTTCTTATGTGTATTGTTATACCTGTCATATATTATCGTAGATTCTGTATGTGTGTTTTGTTTGCGTCTATTTCTTACGGTAAAGTAGCTTATAAACCTTGATGGATATTTCTGTTCGACAGAGTAATGATCGTCTTCAAATATGATAAAACATGTGGGTGGCAACATTTACAATCTAACAAACAAGGTAAAAGACTTATGATAAAAAATCCGCCTGAAGAATCTTACTTCTGAAATCTCACTCGTTTTCTCATCTGTTCAATCGCACTTTTCAGCATCTGAACGAACATCCCGATTAATATAGAGTAGTTGAATGAGTATGATTATATTGCGACATTAATTACTATATAATAAATTAATATTAATTGCCAAAATATTAATCACGGCCAATGAAAAATTCTCTGACAATGTCCCCGTCTGTTTTTCCTAGGGAGGCGTGTTAACGCGACGTTTAACAAAAGCAAATATTCGAGTTATTGCGAACCGACGTACAATCGCATTTGTTTGTTGTAGATATCGTCGTAGTGTTATAACGTTATCCAAGTACAATCTTCAGTCCAAAACGCAGAAGATTTTTAAGTTATACGATCAGAATATGATTCGAATTTTTAATGCTTTGGAGAGCATTGCAGTTTTTTTTTGAAAATCAGTACTGCACCCGCAAGACTTTCTATCAAGGATCTTTTTCAAATCCATCGTGGCGGGTGCAATTGCAGAAAGCTCAATATGTAATAAGTGATATTGGTTCTGTAAACAGAACTTCTTGTTACAAAATTGTTCGTTTCTTTTCTCATTCCGAACAATGTTGAGTTCGAAGTATATGCAAGAATATTTTACATTCCTTTTTACTAATATCGATTTCTTTTTACTATTGACAAAACTGTGTGACGAAATAAATGATTTTTAACATACACGTTTATTTATTTCTATACCCTGTACAGACTACCGAAAGTGCAACTTCGGGTTGCGTAGTGAGTATTCTTGAATTTTTCAGGTAAAGTGAAACGAGATCATGTCATAATAATTTTACAAAACTGTATGTGCGTCGTTTGAGAATGCAATTTCTTCAATTCTTTGCGTATGTCCTGTCATGAAAGATTATGGCAACGTGAAAACATAATTTCACGTACTTTTGTCTGAACAATTCGAAACTGCACGTAGGTACAGTATTTTCTGTAAGTACGTCACACTTTTTCTATATCTTCCACACGCTGCAAGTGAGATTTCGCAAATTTCGGATGTTTAACAGTTTGACTATCGTCTGGTTTTTGCTGTGTTGATAAATATTCAGATGTATATTAGTTTCTATTGTGTGTTAGTTTTTATTGTACATCTGAAAGACGATTCGAAAGGCGTTTTATCCGGAGACAAAGGATCATCGCTCTTCAGCTGCGCAGTTCGCAATATAAATATTCGCGACACCAAGCATTCGCAAGCTATTTCTGCGGCGCACATGTTCCTACCACACGACACGCGAGGGCTGTATACAAGGTGAGAGAGTTCCTTTTTTCTCAATAAATAAGAATCGATTCGCTCTTTTACGTCGACCGCCTTTCTTATTTCTTTCTTAAAATTCTGCTCTCGTTTGCATTTCATCGAACGCGCATTCTTCAGCGTCTACAGAGAATTACACGTTGCACGTGACCTTACGCGAAAACTGAAGTCGCGAACATAGATCGATCCTGTGGAAGCAACCCCTGACAGAGACATCAGAATTATTCAGTAATTAGCGGATCATCATGCTAGTTTTACCCTTGATACCATTTTTCCTAGGTTAGTTGAGTGTTCCGTTACTCGGTTAATCCTCGGTACGATCTCAGTGCAAAGAGTAGCGTCATGCTCGGTTTTTTCCAGGCTATAACAGGGAGGTTATACACAACTCTACGCCCTCATACTTCTTCCGCGTGCGGGTAGACACGTTATTCATCAACAAATCAGAAACACTCATTAGTAAGGAGGGCAACGCCGGCCTGGACTTCTACCTGAAATGTCAGTCGCATGAGGATAACCTAAAATGTCACATCCCAAAGAGGAAATCTTATCAACCACCCACTAACCACGTACACATGCTGCGCAATAACTTTTTCACGCCGTCGTCCCTTAAATTCAAAGGGATACGTTACCGAATGCAATTCGATTTTAAGGGAGCAACGAGTTATATCTTCCTGAAAAATGTGAAAAATGTGAAAAAGAAAAATATTCTGTTGAAAGTATATCGTTTCATCGGGGATCAACTAAGCATCGGTGCTGATCTCAGGACACGGGGCTTCGAATTCAACGCAACGGAGAAAACCGTCATCGGCAAATGCCCGACACATTACAAAATCAGTCGAAATAAGACCGTCAGTACAAGCGAACTCGAGCTGGTCTCCTTTCTTAAGAATTATAAGTTGAACAAGGACATAATGTTCATTATTAATAAACAAAGACGTGTGGGCAAGTGCCAGCCGCAGAAAAAATACATTCTCGGAAGGGTCTTATGGAGTGACCTTATAACATCGAAAGTCACCGCGAAGCTGGTACGTATCGACGAATTCATTTAGGCCTTCGAGGTCATTGGAACGCAGGAATTTCGATTCGCATGACTCGACTACGTCAACAACTGTCGACGTGTCGTTGGCCGTTGTATCGACTCCTTTGTTTCGCTTGTTCGACAGTTTAATCGTAGTCAAGTAACTGTCTAAGGATAGGCGGTAGATCGATCAATAGAGAGAGTTAAAGTCAAAGTCAATTTCCAGACATGCACCTAGTCCTGGGCACACATTCTTATTGTTTTGGTCTTCAAATACAAATATATTCAAATTTTCAGCATAGAATATATATATTTTATGTCGTAATAATTCTATTATGTCGGATAATTCTATATTCAAAGTTTAAACACTGAGGGCCGGTTTTTCAATGATAGTTTAAATTTGGATTCAAGTTTAACTTCTAATAGCGTTTGTTTTATTTAAATAGAGTTTAAGTTGAAATCTAAGTTTAAACTATCATTGAAAAACTGTCCCTTAAATACCGAAAATAATGAGAACGTTCAGGATTAGTTACGTCGTATTAATACCTTTACCTTGTACGTGAATTAATCTCGATAACGACTGTCGGACGACTCGTCGCGACATTCAGCACGTTAGACATTGTTGTAAAGAAGAACGTTACTTAATATAAATGTATCAATTTGTTTGCATTAATTAGGTATAATTAATTCATTTTGTCAAAGTAGCTCGTGTGAAATGGGACATTGTGAGATTATAAATATAATCTAGAATGTGTGTACATTTTTGTTTGTTGCAGCAAAGTTCGCGGTCTGAAATGAAGTTTACTCAGAACGATTTCCACAGCATGACTGCAAATATGTTTTATCTTTATAATAAGCAAGATGAGATTGCCGGCTATGTTCGAGAAACAATTAATGTTGAATTGGATTTTATAGAGGATTTTATAGAGGACTGAAGAACATGCCAGTAGTATTGATTTGTTAAATCAAATGTTAAGGAATACGCTCAGTGACCTCAATTTGGCAACGAACAAAATTACACGGAGGACATATTTTTAATTCGATTTTAAAACATTGTGGACATGCGGCATTAAACTGCAGAGAATGTTATAATTATTATAACTATGTAAACACGATATAAATATATATATATATATATATATATATATATATATATATAT